CGGAGCCCGGCCGGGCCCCATGGGTGTAGGCCCGGCCACCAGGCGGTCACCAACGAGCCCCACCTCCAGGCCTGGCTCCAAAGGGGGGCACCAGTGACCCGCGTCCGGGCAAGGGAAACTGAGTTTCATTTATTTTATTCATCATAAAGGGTTCTTGAGCCCTGCTTTGTCTGGTCCCTCACCTCGGACTTGTTTGCCATGCGTGACCCTGCCAGGGGCATCAAGTCCCAGACAACTTAGCTCCTGGGATCATATATATATATATATATATATATATATATATATCACAGCGGGTACGTCATTGAAAAAACGTTGAGAACAACTGCTTTAACACAATACTGTATTGAGGTTGCATGTGACACCTTGATCGGAGCTCTCCATAACATACATAGCTTTTTCTATCTCAAAACTGAGAAACAAACGGACAAATGAACAAAAAGCTGACAGCTATATTGTTTACCTTAAAGGTGTATAGAAAATATGCATTATCTGTAGAACCCATCTGGCTTTTACTTTTCGGCAAAATACTACAACTTTTTTATACACCAATTATTGTTCTTGGTTTCTTGCGACTCTCGACTTGTCCCATCAGGGGACGCCACAGCGTGTCACTCGCATGATTTGTTTGTCATACTTTTCATACTGGATGCCTTTCTGACTTTTTTGTATCCTGGCTTGACACCTGCACTGCACGGGCATTGGGTCACTGGCCAGGAATAAAAGACCGATCGATCACAAAAAAAAAATCTAAATTATAGAAGGGCTGCAAGCAGGGGGAAACTCCTAAAAATGTGTTGATTTTAGTTCCTTTTCCGACAATGGTACTGAATTCATTCTTACAATGGAGGGAAAAAAAACCAATTCTAATACTGAACAGTCAAAGGAATTATTTCTCCCTGAAAATATAGTATGTTTACGCTCCAACATTTTCTCCAATTCTGTGCGGGTGGCGATGGGCGGAGACACTGTGTCAGCATCCTCAGTTTTGGATGACAGAGGCTGCTTTGCGTTTAATACAACGCGACGCCACGGTCATTAGCAATTATTTACCAACGCAAACAAGGTGCAACTTGAAACTGCGAGAACATTTTCGTGTGTTTTTTTTTTTTTTTTTTGTGCAAGTAGTGCATTACACGGAAGGCAAGTGAACGCACCAATATTTGAGATTAGTCAGGTTGACAGAGAAGGTCCGCAGCAGCTATACTGCACACACAAATCTACTCATTCAAACTACCGGACTACTGCTCATCATCTCGCAGGCTCTCATCGCGTCCGTAAAGGAGGATGGACTGGATAAACTGAGGTAAAAGCAATCCACTACATTGAATTGCCGCGCAAATGCGTGTGCCTACTGACCTAAACAGAGCTTGCACCACCAAGTTGTAGTCTCTGCCTTCCAACTCACTATAACAAGGGGGCGTCGTGAATCCAATTGTGAACTAAAATATGTGAAGGAGATGATGCTGTAGTCGGCTTTTCATATATCCTCATTCATTAATATGAAACGGGGAAAAAAAATTGGGGCCAATTTCCCTAATTGATCTACATTTTTGGAAAGAGCTGCCAATCACCTCCCCCGTTATTATTACATAGTTTTTGATCTTAATGTTTTAATAAGTTGCAATGGAGAATCTGGTCGCATGTTATTATCGGCGAATGGGGCGTCTGTCCGTGGCAGGATGCGTTTGTCTGTGCTATCGTGTCATATTCAGACGAATGTGCGCAAACGACCGAAGACCAAGTCTTGGAAATGCTCTGAGTAACGTTGTCCGCATACTCTGGTCATTTTTGTTTAATACCCAGCATTCAAGTGGATGTTTGGCTGCATTCAATTAACCTGATTGTGCTTGAGCACTTAATTTCCAACAACTTCTTTTTTTTGGGCCTCACTCAAAACCCCCATGCTGTGACCAGCATTGAATTGTTGTATGTCAGAACAAATTCTGAGTTATCAGGCATTTCTGATGATTATAATAAGAATTAAAACAGCTCATTTACATACCCACATAAGGACACTCTCAGGTATGATATACAGTAGATGCCTGATGAATGTCTTTTAACATGCCAATGTTTGTCATTATTATGATAAGATCACATTTAAGGGGTTTCATAATTTCCCCCTTGCACATCTTTCATTAATTCAGAGATGTTTAGTGATGAGAGATGTGACTGAGCATTAGTGTAATGTATTTGCCTTGTTAAAAAATCCTGAACTGCATCAACTAGGGAAAGGAGGTGAATATCCATGGCAGAAATCCAACAGAATGTGTTGATTTTGTTAAAATTGCTTTTAACCCAGATGGCTCTATCTTCGGGCTTTCATCATCCTCAGCCCGTGTCACTATTGGCCCATCTTAAAGGTTAAAATGTCATTTTGTTGTGGCACTGATATGACTTAAGGCTAGGTTCACCCTGGAGTACTTTAATGTGTTAATTTATTGAGAAAGATAGTCCCCGAAGAAGATGTGGTATTTGAAATTGTCAGTTCTGTGGCATCATAACTCATTCAGATTTGAGTACGCAATAAAAGCCGGTTAATGTCAGCTGCATTGTGAGTATTATGTGAGCATGCCCTTACAAGTCATGGTGCCCCCAGGGTATGACTCCCTTATTTGAGCATCATTTGTACACCAAAAGCATCTTCATATGTTGCTAGTCTTTGGCTTTCATATTGAATTCAGAAGCATGCTTGTTTCAGATTCAAGATGCATTATTAGTAGTTGTCTTCACATGACATGACATAGTGTTTCTACCACTACTGTGAACTCAATTTCATATGTTCCCTTTTAGACTGGAATCATGATACGGTATTGGATATTTAACATCATGTTCCTTCATTAGATTATTAAAAATTACAGTCATGAATTCGTTTTTTTTTTAATTTATTTATATTTTTTCTCATGGAAGACAATTTCAGAGCTCTTGCATATCAAGGCATTTTTTTCCCCTTGGATACATCATATGCAAAAGAACATTTTCCAGTACATTTTCCATGTGGAAGGAAACACTTTTTTCCCGACAAATATTCAGTTTTGCCTTGCACCGTTAATCATTGACAATCAAATCAAATGATTAACAGCCACCAAAAACATGGTTTTATAATATTCAATTTTAAACATCTTTTTTTCTAGAATATCTATGAAATACTGTTTATAGGAGTCATATCTTCAATCAACCTGTGTTTCACATCCGTCCCCGCTGCACTGGAGTGTACTTGTCATGAATGACTCGAGAGGCAATATGGGTACTAAAACAAGCCCAGTGTTGGTGCTCCTGGACTTAAATGCATAGATAAGCAGAGATGGATTTCCCTAAAGCAGCAATGGAACGGTTCTTTTGAACTTTAATGTGCAATCCACTTGGGAATGTCATTGCGAGGCACACCATCCACAGTTTCTGTGATGCACAGCTTTAGGTTGCTACATGTCTCCTGATGACCCAGTAGAATCGGATGCCTTCATTCGATGTAGTTTCCCACAGGTTTTAATGATCAGTCCATCCATCCATGCATTTTGTGATCCGCTTCATCCTCACAAGGGTCATGCTGGAGCCTATCCCAGCTATCTTCGGGCAGTAGGCGGGGTTCACCCTGAACCGGTTGCCAGCCAATCGCAGAGGTTTTAATGATCAGTTCTGACACAAATTACTTACTCTCTCATAGTTGACTCAAATCAATGCATTAAGTCGCATGTAGAAAACATATTTAAAATACCAGGTTTTGTCTCAACGTTGCCAGAATTCGGTCATGTTTAGAATTCGGTCATGTTTATCTCATGGCTATCCACAGACCTTAATTTCACACGTTTACTGTATCACATTCAAGCTCGATGACTGTAATGCTCTGCTTTCTGAGCTCCGAAAAAATAATTTACCACACAATTACTTGAACATTCAGCAGCCCCTGTGCTGACTAAAACCAGAAAGAGGGATTCTCTGCAGGTTTCTGCATCAGCTGGCTGTTGGCTTCGGAATTGATTTTAGGATCCTTTTAATGCTTCTTATAGTTCCTAATGGTCCTGGCTGCCTTAATTACAGACCTCCTTTTACTGTATGATTCTGGCTTTTCGATAATTTCTCAAGTGAGAACCAAAGCTCATTTTTCAGATAATCGAGCCAACAACCAAGGAACAACGTTCGTAAGACATAAGTGCTGCCCAGAACATTAATACTGTATTTTCGTTTCGTTTCGTTTGTTTATTGAACATAAAAACATATACAGTAATAACTTGACAGAAAGTAAGGTAAGTAAAATAGTAAAAAGGAAAGAGAAATCAGTCATCATTCAACACAATTATTATGTTCAAGGGAGTAGGAAGAAGTAAAAAACGTATCTAGTCCTACCCCGTGTTATGTGTTTATATATCATTTTGAAATTTGAAAAGCAAAGCCAAAAACCCCACAACTGCCTCTTAAATCTGGCCTCTTCGTTCAAGTTTGCTTGATAGCTATCTATCTATCTATCTATCTATCTATCTATCTATCTATCTATCTATCTATCTATCTATCTATCTATCTATCTATCTGTCTATCTATCTATCTATCTATCTGCCTGCTTTTTTTTCTTCCTGTCTAATATTCGTTGTATTTCGACTCACTTTTTTCTGTTTTATTCTGTCCTTATCATATTTCGATCCTTCCTCTTTTATGTAGTTTTGTTTTTGTTTTTTAATGTGAAATATTCACATGTTAAATTCCTCTGGTGTATTTTAAAATGTGTTGATAGTTCTGTAATGTACAAAGTTGTTGTGTTAATAGAAAAAAAAACAGACTCTCATTTTTCTTTGTTCTTTAGCCATCTTTTATTCATGTGAGCTTTACTCTGCCTCTAGTGTTTCCTCATCAGTGGTGTTCCCTGACAATTGTATCATCATACTGTCAGTCATACAGTCATGCTGCTGTGTGTATGCGCAAGGGAGCAGCCAAGGAATAACGAATGGCTCTAGGCCCCACATCATCAGTGCCACAAATTTAAAATACTATTTTCCAAGGCCCCTGATAGTCTTCTTCTCTTTACAGTTGCCGATTTGCGCATGTGTGTGTTATGTGTGTGTCTTTTGACCCTGCTTCTTATTGTGGAAAAGCACATCATGATGCAATATTCTTATCAGAGGTGCTTTATGAATGAATGTATTTATTTGATTAGATGAAAGAGGCCGTTATTAGCCTTACAAATTCTTCTGTTAAGTTGGAGACGGACATGATGCAGCCTTTTTATTCGTTGACAGAGAGTTTATATTATCCCATTACAATGGGAATGGAATATTCTACTCTCTCATGTTGGTGCTTTCTCTTGTGTCAATTTAATTTTTGTTCCTATCTCATAATGTAAGGCAAGGGAAGTAATATTTTCCTAAGTGCTCCCTCACTGTCACTTATCATTGACATACCTGCCAGTTGAACCACAGTCTGATGGTCTTATGGCACGTTGTGTTAATGTTGTTGTTGTTGTTGTTTTTTTTTTTTAATTACATTACATTGCAATTTGGAAAGTTTCGCTTTTTTTTTGGCACAAGAACTGGCCTCACAACCAGTTTCTCTGACTTGGGAGCCTGGCTGTGCGAAGAGCCGCCATTTTCAATCCCCACGGCAAGAGTGCACTGTCTGAATCATTACCATGTCAAAGCCAAATGGTTGGCAGTTCTGCATTCACTTTTGCAGTTTGCGGCCTTATTTTGTTCCATTTCATTATGTAATTGCACTGCATTTGTTATTTCTTGTTTATACTTTCAGAAACATGTTTTTCAAAAAATATATAACTACTACAACGACAGAAATTACAATTAAAATATACAGTATATTTGTGAAACACACTGTGTATGTGTATCCGGTGATGACCGACTTCGTTGCGTTCAAGAATAGTGGCGATGCACAGCAGAATTTCTTGTATTGGTTGCATTTAATTGTCTCAATCACAAAACCTTAAGACAACAGCAAAAACAATGTCCCCCAACACAAATTATATGGCACAGCAATGTATTAAAATATACAAACGTGTAAATGAAATCAAAAGTTTGTCCAACTCTAAAGATGCTGACCTCCCCATGGACATCAAGAGAAAAAGGGAAGGGTCAAAGGCGTGAGAACAATTTAAAAGAGGCAGTGTCACATTCATTATTATTGAGTGGGGCAAGACGTAAATATGTTTGTTTCAACTTTTGATAATGGAAGATATAATAAAAGGACATGTCAGGCATTTATCATTTCACAGATGTTGTGTAATTATAACGCAGGACAAGTATTTCCAAGTTTTTTACCGGCCCTGTTACATTTTATATGTACGCTACACCAAAACAGATTTGGTCA